CCTGCTTAGCTTCAAACTCCTGTGTTTATCTGCAGCTTTAAACAGGAAGAAATGATTTGTGCTCCTCTCGGCCATTCTTAGCTCAAGCACAGAGCATCTCATTAATTTAAAGGGGAAAAATAAGGCGAAGCAAACAATCTGTTTCAAAGGGAGAGAGCAGCGATTCCTGCGGGGGGCAGCCTGCTCCTGAGGGGCCCCGCGTCCGGCCCAGGACGGCAGGGAGCCCCCCCCAGGAGCCAGCACTCATCTGAATGGGCACAGGCGGAGCCAGCCGGGGGGTGGGGGGTGTAGCGGGCGACTGCGAGCATTTCCGTTTAATCTGCCTGCCTTTCTTACCTCCTCAGGCACTTAACCGGCAGCTTCCCCAAATACCCGGACGCAGAAGAAGGGGGATCCGCTGTCATTTTCTCCAACAAGACCCCTCAGCAGGTACGAATGTGCCCGAGAATTAAATGTAAATGTGCCACGACTGCGTCTCCTCAGCGTGAGGCCGATGGGCTCGTGGCTCCGAGGCCTTGGCTGTTATTCTAGGTGGAAAGGCTTCGGGTGACCATGGGCGTCTGTCCTTCCCAGTCCGTGTCAGAACGCACTCACCTTTCTCCCGTCTTGCCCGGAGCGAGACCTGACAGCCTGCGGCCCTCAGCTTCTCAGTGAATTCTCAGCGGGCGATCTCAGGAGCCCTCCACGCCCACGTCCCTGCTCACCTCGGTCTCGTCTCCGGTCCCATCTTCACCCAGTCACCCCGCGCCCACTCCCTGTCCTCTCACCTCTCGGGCTGCGGCGCGCCATCCTCTGCTCAGGCCCCGCTCCCCGCCAGGCCTCCGCTCTGCCGTGTCAGGGTCCTTCTCGGACACGCTATCTGGTCACCTCTGTAGACGCTCCCGGCATCAGATGAAATCAACCTCGAAGGCTCGCTTTAGGAAAGTCTTAATGAGCTAGACGTAGGAGAACTTTTCTTACCCTCGGAGACTCGATCACAGGAACCAAGAGAAGCCTGCATGGCCCTCACCAGCGAAGCTTTAGAGGCGGTGCCCTCGGAAGTGAAACTCAAGAAAAAATAGTCGCTACCAGAACTATTGGTTAATATTTTCCTATAAGTTCTAACTATCTGTCTAATGCAATAAGAAAAAGAAAGGAGTCATAAATGTTTAAAAGCGATAGTTTTATCATTTTTTTTTAAAAAAATTATATGTTATCTTCCTAGAAAACCTAAACTTAACAAAAATTGTATTGACATGATATACAGAATTATACTGACAAAATTATACCGAAGAATTTGAAAAAAGACTTGAACCAAGAGGCTGATGAATTACTTCCTTGGAAAGACTCAGTGAAGTACAAATACACATTGTCTGTCCATTGTTCTGCACAGTCGATGCAGTTCCAATCAAATCAGAACAGGTTTAGGACAAAATTATTTTCTCGTTTACGTGGAAGAATAAATACATGAAAATATGCAAAAAGTTTTTGAAAAAAGACCATAATCACAGGGAAATGTCCCACCTGATACAAATCAAACTGTAAAGATAAAGTACTTAAAACATCATAGTAATGGGAAAAGAACAGACTGATAACTTATGTGACAATAAATATCTTTCACATACAAAGAGTTCTTAGAAAGCAATAAGAAACATCTGAACACCTTAGTAAAAAAGATGGCAAAGAAACAAATAGAAATTTAATAGAAGAACTTTTACATGTCACTAACAAAGAAATTTCAGTATAATCTTACCATATCCCTTTTCACATATAGGATTGGTAAAAATTTGAAATCATGATAATAACTGGAGTTTCTAAGCATGTGGGGGGAAAAAACCACTCCCCTACATTGCTGCTGGAGTCATAAATTAGCATAACATTTTTTTGAAAGGCATGGCTGGAGTAAATATCAAAACTTCATCTGTACACCCCTTGATCTGTAAATGTTACTTAAGGAATTTATACTAAGGAAATACTAAGACGAGAAGCCATGGATTGGGATCAGCACACTTTTCCCATAAAGGGCCAAATAGTAGATATTTGAGCCTGTGGGACGTACGTTCTCTGCCCCAAATGCTCCACGTTGCCGTTGCAGTGTGAAAGCAGAAACGGCCCCTATGTGAGTGAGTGGACATGGCTGTGCCCCAATAACATTTTATTGATAACCCTGGGCATCGGGCCAGATTTGGCCTATGCACTGTAATCCGATAACCCCTGCCACAGGCGTGGAAAAAGCTGTGTGTGTCTGCATGTGGTTATAAATGCAGGAAACAGGCCGCTGGTCCTCAGCAGGGAACTAGTTAGGCAGCATGCGCAGCTATCGGGGGCCCCGGTCATCCTGGCTGTCCCCGCGCTCCCCGGCGGGAGCCCTCAGAGCCACACAGGTCCCCCCTACCAAAGCCAGCTCGGCGTCCACAGCCTTCCCTCAGCCCCCAGAGGACTCCTGTCTTTCTCCTCTGAACTCTGTGGACACCTAATATCTACCCTCCTGCGCGGCCAGCCACCAAGCCCGGGTGACTGTCGTTTAGACTTGGTGCAATTTCGCCCGTTAGGTGTAGGCCTTGTCCCTCCAGCTGAGTCCTCAGGCACAAGTCGGGTCCTGAGAGTCCATGGCAGGCAGCCAAACCCTGTGCACGCTGGTGCAGAAAGGTAGCAATTACGGGATTAAGAACCTCAGCGGGATGTCTAAATTGTACACGAGAAACATCCCAAAGTAGAGTGAACATCTAGTCAAACCAAAGACAAAACAGAAGCGAGGATGCCCAGTTAATAATTAAAATAACACAAAGGGGCCCAGGACAGATGACTGACAGTCAGGCTGGAGCAGGGGAGTCACAGTCCCCCACATGCTAGGTCTGCAGCCCGAGGCCGGCTGGACCCCCTGAGCCTGCATTTTCTTAGCTGCGTGTGGAGACCCGAGCTGTGCCCACCTCCTGGGTCGGATGCGCTGATTAGAGGGGTGATACGTGCACAGAAACAGAGCCGGGCCTGCCGAAACCTCTCACGAGGCTTAGCAGTTGTTCAGGTGTTAGTTGTAGCAGGATGAAGAAAGGTGTAGACCAAGCCTAATCCTTATACTGATGCACACAGTCAAGCTTATATTTGCAAAAAATAAAAATAGGACAAATACTTCTTTATGAAATGAGCATAATCACATCGATACGAAGTCCCCGAAAAGACTGAATACAAATCGGACCACAGGTCAGTCTTCCTTGGGAGTATTCATGCAAAAGTTTACACCGAATATCGGCACGCTGAGAACCGGCGGGCCGCGGTCAAGCAGGCGCCAGCGGGTCGGGATGCAAGGGCGGCTCGAGCTCAGGATGTGCGTGAGCCCGCTGGTCATGGAGGGAGAGCCAGGCCCCAACTGCGAGCTCCCCGGGGTGGATGCTGACGGGCGCTGGACAAATCCAGCCGCCTTTCCTGGTATTAAAAAGTAAACCGATGGGAATATACGGATACTTCTTGAACGTGACGAAATATTGCTAACTTAGTTCAAAAGCCGTTACTATGCTCAGTGAAATTCACTGGAAACGTTTTCACTGATGTCAGGAAAAATACAAGGGTGGCCACTGTCACCCTTGTCCCACCTGATCTCTCGAACGCTGTCAGAAGAAAGAACATAGAGATGTGGAGACGGGAACGGGAGAGGCGAAAGGGTCACTTTTTGAACGTGTGTCCTGTACTTATAAAAGGAAAGAGAATAGAGTGGAAATCTACGTTAAAAGATCTGAGAAGTCAGATGGGCGAGTTATAAAATTAATACACAGAAAGCAGAAGCTTTTGTGGGTACAAACAGCAGCTGGATAGGAAACAGAATAAAAGGGCCCATTTACAACAGCAACCACACAAAGGTAAAATACCAGGAGTGAACTTAATAATCAATATGTGTTTATGTGAAGAAGAATTTAAAACGTTCTGAGGGATGCAAACAGAAGGGTGCAAAAGCGCGCCCTGCCCTTAGGTAGGGATGCTCTGCACCGTAAATACTTCAGCTCTGCCGACATCCCCGATGGACTTAATTGACCCAATAAAAATACCAAAGAGCATTATGTTGGAGCAGGAGGGAGGGGGCAGGGAGGGCGACCCACGGATTCCGAACTTTAGGTAGAAAGTAAATAACCGAGAGCAACCAGTAAAATTCTGAAAACAAAGCGTAAGGAGGAGTAATGAGCCTGCCAGGTATTAAAACATGATATTAGAGGACCATCGGTACAAGCAAATGACTAGGAAAAAAACATTAAAATGTATGTTTTTATTGACTTTTTTTTTTAGAGAGAGAGGAAGGGAGAGGGGGAGAGAGATGGAAACATTGATGGGAGAGAAACGTCAGTCCCCTGCCTCCTGCAGGCCTCCTCCTGGGATCCAGCCCCAACCCGGGCATGTGCCCTGACCTGGAATAAAACCAGCACCTCTTGGTGCACAGAAGGGTGCTCGGCCAGCTGAGCCACACCCGCCAGGCGAGAAGGACACATTAGAGGGAAGGACGGAAAATGAAGAAATACACCCAGGTACGGTACATAGGGAAACGTAGTGTGTATATATATACACACATATATATACACACATATATATACACACATATATATAATAAATGTGCCATCTCACCTTTCCTGTGTAGGAAAAAAAAAAGACCATTTAATATACAATATTAGAATGACCAGGCTGCCATCTGATAAAGAGGAAATTAAATCACTATCTCTTCATAACAGAATGGTTTCAGGCAGGTCAAAGATTTAAGGGCCAAACAACAGAAAACGACAGAAGGGCTTGAAGAAGCCGAGGGAGAAATACGTCACCGCGTGGTGGGGAAGACCTCCCGACGACCGACCGCTGTAACACACCCGGGGGGTCACAGGAGAAAAAAATGAGAAATTCAACTACACACACAAAAATATTTTTAACCTGCACGGCAAAGCCAACCCCAAGCGAAGCTGAATGGCAGAGGGCTCGCGGGGGGATTATTTGGAGTAAGTGTCACAGATAAGAGATCGTTTTTCCAATATATGAAGCGCTCCTACAGCTCTGTAAAAAAAAAAAAATCAATAACCAACATAAAAAACAGCCAAGGGATAGGAACAGACGGTTCACAGAACAGAAAATCTAAATGGACTTGAAACGTCACAAAAGGTGCTGGACGTGTGAAGAGATGGTCCCCTCACCCGGCAAGAGAAACGCGGATGAAAGCTCCACGGCGGGGGACACGGGTCGGAACCTCATCGGAACTCAAAGCGTTCGCACTTCCAAAGACGCTAAGAAAACGCGAGGACCGGAGCAGCCGGGGGAGGGTCTCTGCCAGCCCGGGGGTGACGGGCCCGTGGGGAGCCCGGGGAAAGACGCCCCCGGACAACTCGCAAAGAGACGCCTGAAGGGCTGAGCTGGTAAGCCCCCGAAAAGATGCTCCAGGTCGCCGGTCATCGGGAAGCGCAGAGCAAGGACAGTGTGTGCACTACGCTGACGTTCGCACCAGTCCGCAGGTGTGTGCCCGTGTCACGTGCGCACGTGGATGCGTGTGTGCATACGTGTGCTCTCGGAGGGTTTGCCCGGAGTGGAAGCGAGCAAGCGCAGTAAACGCAGCGCCGGTGTGGGGACGGCCCGCCACAGCCGCGCCCCGCTTCCCACGGACGGGACCGGCAGGCGACCTCCGTGCGCCTTCTGCGTGTGGCGTGTGCACACACACGTTCGCACACGGGTACCCGCGACGGCCTGGAGGCCCACCTAAGGCGATGAGCGGGCTTTGGAAAGCGCCTCCCGCGGGCCGGCTCCCAGCCCGGAGGGAGGAGACGCTTCGCCGCCCGCGCTCCTGTCGCCTGTGAATTGTGACCCCTGCAAATGTATTATCTGTCCGAAGGTTGAATTACCGCGGAGGCATGGACACAGTTGACGGGGCTTTAACAGGTGCACGGAACTGCATGCTCCACAAATGAAGATTCACCCCTTTTCCAACGGCTCGCATTTATATAGTTTTTAAAAGTCTTTACGTTTCTGAAAGTTTCCGACCTTCCAAGAACCAACAAAACCCGGTCGCGCTTCCGAACAGGGCGCCCCGGCAGCCGCGGCCGGCTCCGCGAGGGAGGGGAGCCCGACCCCCAAGGGGGCGTTGCTGCTTTGACAAGGGACTTTTCATCCTGTCCAAGGCGCCCTTTTTATTACCGAAAAACACACACAACACATACGTCACCTGTCGCCTTCCCAGCTCCCTTCTCAGGGCCTCACCCACCGCAGCCTCCCGGAGCCGGTGGAGGAGGCCTCTGGACGCGGGACACGTGACTGTAGCTTCGTTTGGGGGGCTGTTGTTTTTAAGTCCAGACGGTGCCAGAATAGCGGCTTTGTTCATGATGAAGCTGCTTTTCATACTTTTAAAGGTGTGAACTGAGCTCCTAAGGTCTAAACATCAAAACTATAATCCCAGACGCTAACGAGACACAGCCAGGCAGCCTTGCCCCCGACGGGGGTGCCACGCAGCCGTGAGGGGAGGGCGGCCCCTTGACCTGGCCCTGCGGGGAACCACTGGGCCGGCGATTTGTCGTCACTTTAACGTGTCTGCACGTGCCCGTGTCCCGAAGCTGCGGCGTTATTTCTCACCTACCTGTGTGCACGTCACGCCACAGGATGAGTTTACACGTGTGGCTCCTCCGGTCCCACGTTATGAGGCGCGTCCCGTGGGCGCCGCTTCGCATCCCAGCTGAGCCACCGACTGGCTGTGCCCTTGGCCGGGTTGCTGAGCTTGCGCCTCAGTCCCCTCATCCCTGAAATGGGCTGACAGCCCCACGCGGGGCTGTGTTTAGGAGGAGAGGAGCCGGCCTTTGTGGGCTCGCAGAACCGCGCCCGGCCTGCCGCCAGTGCCGTGGACCATGGACCGATGCGGACACGGTGGCTTCGTTTTCGAGCTGAGGAGACTGAGTCCCAGATCAGTCACGTCGCTCGTCTCGGCCCCACGGCCAGGGAGGAGCAGAGCCTGAGGGTCACGTGGGTGTGCGTCCGGCCCCGCCGGGCCCTGGCTCTGTCCCAGGCAGTGAGAGCTCAGGCCCCTGCTGGACGGGCCCGAGCTGGCTGGCGTTTTCCAGCCGGGGCGGGCTCTTCACCGGCACCGAGCCTCTGAGCCGGCCGCCCCCCAGGTGTTTAAACTGCAGAGGAGCAAAGGGGTGTCGGCCACTGGGGAGCATGAGTTACACCCCTCGTGTCCCCGAGCCCCTCGCAGTCGGCAGCCCTGCCTGGGGGGGAAGGGGGGGTGCTCCCCCGGCCAGCACAGCCCCCCGCCCAGCCAGAAAGCCGCGCTGACGAGGGCTCGGCTGAAAGCGGGCTCGGCTGGGACCCAGGCTCGGCTAGGACACGGCCCGGCTGGGACACTGGCGCTGTCTCACCAGGTCATCGAGGACATTCTCACCACGCAAGAAGACGATGAAAAAAGCAAGAAGAAGAAACCGGAACCGAAGAAGAAAGATCAGAAAGTCAAAAAGAAAGAACCAAAATCAAAGATCAAGGTAAGGGAGTCGGGATTTCAGAAATCCACGGGGGGTTTTGCTCTTTTGCTTTGGGTCGGGGGGGGTCACCTTGGGGCGCGGGGAGGGCAGCCGCCCGAGTCCGGAGGCCACGCGCCTCCGCGGCGTCCCGGCTCTGCTTCCGTCGGTCGGCAACCGGCTGCCACCCCCTGCGACCTATGAACACCCGCAGGGCGAGAAGGGCCCCCCCCGGCTCGGAGTCTCCCCCTTAAGCCGTGTGCGTGATCGTTTTTATTACTGAAAATAAGTGGTGCCACGTGTCCCTCCTCGAGGGCAGAGGGCCGGAAGCTGCCCGGCGGACCAGGGGGCCCTCGGGTAATGGCCTCGGCGCCTGCACAGCGGGCTCCTCCCCCTGGCGCCCGACGCTGTCTTGGGTGTATTTTCACGGAGTTGGCGTCTCGCTCTCTGGAGCAGGTCGGAGGTCAGGCAGGGTCGCTACGGGCCAGGCCTTGCCCTGTGCGGCGGGGTCGGGGGTGACTGTAGGGTTGGAGGAGCCAGGGGTTGGGGTGGGCGTGGGGCGGGCCCAGCGGGTGCTGTCCTCGCAGGACCCCCACCTTGGGGCGCGTGGAAGGCGGCTCCCAGGGCTCTCGCTCAGCATCAGCACCCCCATGGGGAGCGGAGCTCGGGCCCGAAGCTCGTGTCCCCCGAGAGCGCGACTAGAGTAGCATTTCCACTCAGGGGCCACTTCACAGCTGACCAGACCACAGCCGCAGGACACTGGGTCCTTAGAGGTTAAGGTCCCGCAGTGACTGTCCAGAGGCGGGGACCCAGCTCCAGCCCAGGCGGCAGTGGCCCTGCTCCGTGTCCCGGAGCTGGGTTCTGACGGGCGCTCGGGCTCCAGGGTGCCCCGGGGGACCCGCTCGGCGACGTCTGGCCCCCTGCTCCTGGGAACCCTGGTACCACGTCCCGGTGAGAGGACGGGACCGTCTGGGCGACTCCAGAGGGTGAGGAAGGAGCCTGAGCGGGGAGCCCGGGGAAGGGGCGGGCGAGCAGAGGGCAGCACCCAGCGCCCAGGTAAGTGCAGGGCACAGGCCGGGGTAAAGCCCACACGCTGTTGAAATCCCCCCGCGGCGGTGCCAGCCGGCTGCCCGCGATGGCCGCGCTCGCAGCGCTCAGCTCCTGCGCTGTGACGGGCCGTCCTTCACCCGCCCCGTGCGTCCCTGTCCCTCCCTTTAGCCGTGCCCCGTTGTCCACCGCAGGGTCAAAATGAGGGCGACCCCTGCTGCTCATTTGGGCACAGCCGCCCTGCTGGAGTGGAGGCCGAGGGGGCCTCTCCGGGGCCCCTCCAGGACTCAGGGGCTCGGGCCCCAACCGCCCAGAACGTCCTGAGCTCCCGGTCTCAGGCAGCTGACCCGTGTGAGGTTACCCTCCCCCCAGGACAGTCACGTTAGGGTGCGAAGGCCCAGCCCCTCACCCGCTGGTCAGCCCCTGGGCGCCCTGTGATTGTGCAACAGCTGCTCCCTCCCCCTCCTGTGGGTGCTGTTCCCAGTAAACCCTCTGAGTACCTCCAGGGACCCCATCTCGTGAGACCACCTACTGCCCTGCTAATTTGCCTGCACCCCAAAAGTTGTGCATTGTTCCATCATATCCCCAAAAAAGCTGTCTCACCCGATGAAGCTAATTTTGTAACTCTCCTTGGTAAGAGAGTTTTTAAGTGGCGCCCGAGCACAAGGGCAGCCGGAGGCGTTTCGCGTCACCCTCGGCATCTCCCCTCCGCGCTCCGGTGGAAAACCCGCTGTTAGCGAATCTCGTTCCATAAACACGGAAAGCGCCCGCGGCACCACCCGCCTGTGCGGAGTGAAGGCGTTTCACTAACTAGCTACGGAAGAGGCGCTTGGCCACGAACAGCTGGGGACGGAAAGCGACGTGTGGGCCCGTCGGCACTGACGATGTGGCTGTAAAGGACGGGTGGGCCCTGCAGGACGCTCAGAAATGAAGTTAGTCCTGAAACACAGGCCTCCAACGCGGCAGTGTGATTATTAAAAGAATAAGTGGCCGTCGCTAATAAAAACTGGAATATTTAAATTATATGGGGACACTTCTCAGAGATGGGATTTTCTTCCCCGTGGACTTTGGAAAGTCTCCTAGAATCAACCCCAAAGGGCCTGGGAGCACCCCGGAGGCCAGCTAGTCAGATCCGGGTGTGCGATTTGGTACTTTGACCTGTAGAAAAAAGGCATCGTTACAGTCCCGGTGCAAGGGTGAGGCCGGGAGAGGAAACGTCTCTGTAACATGCACAGACACTGACTCACCGGCCCGAGCCCCAGGGGCCGAGCTGTGATTTCCATTGGGTATTTTACAACACTTAGCCCCTACCAGTCGCCAGCCCCCTACGTACAGTCAGGAAACTTAGGAAAGACCTCATATTAAACAAAAAAACCCCGGTAGGATTATCTGAATATTTGCACTAACCTCTGTAATTGGAAAGCACCCTTCCAGATATCACACAGGTAGAAGGTGGGAAGCTCCGTGAGTCCCCGAGACGTGACAAAGTGTGGACAGCAGGAGCGGCCTGGAGAGGGGCCTGGGGGCGAGTGGGTGGGAAGGCGGGACGAGGGGTCCCGGGCGGGGTTCCAGGCGACCTCGGGCCCCCCTCAGGGAGGGGCGTGGTGGGTGTGGGGCCCGCCGAGGGGGGCAGGCGG